AGATGGGCTGTGGTTGGACGAGCCGCCACACCAACGGCCCAAAGTTAGCCAGGGTAGCGGCAAGAGCGTGCCAATCAACGATGCCAGAGCAATGCGTCTAAAGCAGCGATTGGTGTGAAACGCCATGCCCCCACAAGAAGCCTCTGAGTTGGATGGCCACGGACTCGGAGATCCACAGAAGTAAAAGAGCCGCAGCGGATCCCATCAACCCCTGCCATGGAGTTTGTCGTGAAGCAAGCCTGACGGACAGTCTGGTTCATGCTGGTACAACACGTGTCTGGACATGCGATCGCTCAAATGGATGGGCAGAATGCCAGCGGTCACGAAAGGTCGACACCAGGCTACCGTAGTGACTACCTAATTGAGCAGCAGGGTAGCCATGTGACACTTTCTCGAAGATTTCCATGCAAACAAACGAAACACCACGGTGCTTCTGAACTAGCGATCTAACGACGTCTTAACTTCCCCCGCATCCCACGAGCCACCGCTGCATATCGTACAGTAACAAGACCCCAGTAATGCCCGTCCTGAGGTTTGAGTAGGTGATTATGTTGGGCACAAAGCAAGCGGGGATGATCAGGTGAGGAGGTCAGGCAAACACAGCCGCACAAGGCTGACACAGAGCATTTTTAATATTTGCATTAGACCCATCCGTCAACAGTAGGCAGCTGAAAGTCGGGCATGAATGCATTAGTGCGAGTATGTGAAACAACCGCAACTTGGGGCCACGCAAAGCCAGCATAGGAGTCCGTAGCCTCATGACGTTCTGCCATATATGTTCCGTTTAACCCGGTGTGCTCCTGTGGGAATTTGGGTAATCAAGCGGAATGGATCATCTTCGTCTTCCTCGCAAAGCACTTCTGCCAGCACGAAGGGCTGTGGATGAAGAATTGCCAGGCCAAGCATCTGAATCTATTCCAGGCCATTACCCCGGACGTCTCCACTCGAGACAACATTTTATCGTAAGGCTACTTTCCCTTCTCCTCCAGGAAGATCCATCCTTGCCGACATCGATCGATCCTCGGGCTTCGACACCTCCACTCATAAGTAAAATCGCGCTTGGACGCCGGGCCGAAATCTCAGCCCATAATCGCACCCATGGGCGGCTACAATCTTTGTTCCCGGCCAATAATGATACCTTAGTGGTCAATGAACGAATTGAACAGGGAACAGAAGGTGGAGAAGATGTCGACACAAACTTCTCTGGATCAACCTCTCATAGTTTTGACATTCGAAGGACGAGACACAAGAAGCGGATATCGGAATTAAAGGAATATATAAAGCCAATATCTCCCGAAGATGGATCTGCCGTGATTCTACTATGTTGGGGTGAAACATCCTGCTGCTCAGTCCTGCCAGTGTCTGCTTCGAACCCAGAAGATGAAGTGGCTACATGGAGAGAGATCAACGCAGCCTGGTACACTCGCAAAGGCCACTGGAGGAAAAGGCTGATGGGATTGAGGGTCACGAGAGTTGCCATTGCCGAGGTTTGTTATAACACGTATTACCGTGAAAAGCTCACTGACTAAGAAGTTAAGATCACAGTACTAGGTCTGAAGGAAGCCTCGAGCGGCACCGGAACAAGTGAATATATTGGAATGTATTTGGAACAGGATATTCCAAAAGAGCGAAAAAGATTGCAACATATTATAGACTGCAATCCCCCAACCTCACACTGCTTTTACAGTCGTGAAACAGGAACAGTACATTGCGACCCCGAATGCGTTTGCTCTCAGTGTTTCCCAAACATCGACGGCATTGATGATTGTCCCTTAAAGATATCGCGTGCTGCCAGGAGGGAGCTTTTGCTCCTTGATACGCTCGACTTAATGAGGCACGTCTTCTCAAATCCTGTCCTCGCTGCTTCGAATGATTTTCTTGAGCAAGCAAACCTTGTATACAGTCACCAGTAAGGTCATTGATTGTGAGAGTTATGAAGTCCGGCGGTACTAATGGATACATGATAGGGATGTTCTGAGCCAATTTAACATTTGGAACGATTGGCACTGTCCAGGATTAAGAGAGATCCGATTCCGGGGAATAGTAATCAAGGAAGACTGGATACTAGGTACACGGCAGGTGGTTTTGCCTTTGTTTGCAACAACGTTTTTAGTGGTGGTTATTGTTGCTAAATCCTTTTTTGACTGGGGTACCGCATGGAGTGTCGGCAGTTTTTTTGTCACGCTAGCAACGCTTTTATGGACGGTTAGTCAATATCACCATTAGCGTCATCTAAGCATGTAAATAGGATATTATCAAAGCAAAATGACTGATCGCAAAATGCTCAAGGCCCACTTAATCATGTGTTCGATTTCTGTTGTACCTCTCAAAGCTACTCGCTTCCCGGCTTTCCACTGGAGGAGTACATCTAATACTGGCAAAAAAAGAAAAAAAATTAAACTAAGTGTATTGTTGGCCGTCATGGTACGGTTGGTTACTTGTTTCCGTTGGGCATGGTTAATCTAAGGCGTTCGAACTGAGAGGGATGGGAAGCAGCTAAGTCAAATCGGGCTGATCAGCATTGGATCTTAACGGGGCTTATTAGGGGATTCCTGCAAACCCAGTATGCGCCGTCGTTCCAAGCATGGTAGTGTCGCCCATGCTCAAACCTATAGTCGAGCATTGAAAGCGACAAGCTCTCAGTCGCATATTCGGGGCTTTCGGCGTATGAAGAGTCGACATCAATAGCATATTGCTCTGGATGAGCGGGTATCATTTCAATCAAATCCGCTTGAACAGGTGGCTCCGGCGTGATGGACAAGTCCGGCCTTGGACACAAAATTGATAAGCAAGAATTTTTGAGGCCTCATCTCTAAGATTTCACTTTCCTCCTCCCCTACATAGAGCCAAGTTGCCCGAGATCTGAAGCCTGGAGAAAGTAAATCTTGGCGAATCGTCGGCCCACTTTTTTCGATTCCTTGGTAACCATGGTTTGTTTTGTAGATACAACTTTAGCAGGACCAGTCGCGCAACCTGGAGGATCAATATGAGTGGGGTGACGGGTGAAGCCACGATCACCCTGAAAGCGCAAGAGTGGGTGACCATGGGGCACAACAAGGATGGCCCGCTTTAAACTCATCTTTATCCCCTAAACCTGAGATGCATTTTTTTTGAATCTTGTACTGATCAAATGATTGAAGTGTCTCTTCTAAAGTATTTATTTGCTGATTCTGGTACGCTGGAGCTAGACCAAGTTTGGGCAATCAGGCGCATCCTGAGGCTAACTTCAAGGAGCACCAGATCAGTTCATATTTCCTCACTGAAAGTGCTTATCGAATAAAGTCCCTAATTGTGGAGAAATTATAGTCCGGTTATGTGCTATACCGCGTACATTACTCCCCCTCCAGATATCATTAGTGCTATCCTGCTGTTTAAACAAGTAACGCCTCCTAGTTCTTCAGTCATGACGTCCAGCTTTCCTATGATCACACTTTCTGAACGCGACGGAGCACTAGAGAGCCTCCTATATCGTTACTAAACATCTCAGAGCTCAACTTTGCGCAAGGAAGCAGCATGGATTCGGAAGAAATTTCGCAATGGGTCCATCACCAGAAGAAATCCTCAGCGCCGCTTATTCAGGCCTTTAGTCATTAACTGACTGTTTCCGAGGCGGCTCAAATTCTTAATCAATTTCAGTCCAACTGGATTCGCAATGGCCAGGTGCTTTGGAGCGGCATACCTTTCGAAGAAGCCCAAGAATGGGCAGACAAGCACCACTTACAGACGCTGACCATAGCTATGGGGCCTTTGATGGATAAAGAACACGCGAAAAGCTTGAGAGCAGAAAAAACACGGCAGCAATGGAAAAAGTATATTCATGGTGCCTCAGCAATTTTCGCTTGGCACATAGCTAGGTTCGAAAGAGTCATATTACTTTCATGCCCACCACCTCAACGACTGCACCCGTCCGGTCTTTCATATTATCAGACAATCGAGGAGCCGATTATCAAAGGTCGATTAGGCCGCTGCGCCGTGGACCGGATTATGATGGTTCATCCAACAGTTACGGAAAGCAAAGAGTTCTTATACGAGACATGGCCTGTGGACAAAAGTTCCACGTGGATCGAGTTATACGGACTGCGAAATAGAAAGAAGGCCTGGAGAGATGTCGGACAAGCTAGGGGTGGGCTACAAATAAAGGAGCTGGCAGCTCACTCAGAACGACAAATGCTTTCTGCTGATAATGCTCACAATCCTAAAGAAAGAAAGGTTTGGCTGCACATGTACTCTATCTCCAGCTGATACTTACAGGTGGATAGGTCGCCCCAATTCATTCCCTCTTTATTATTCTATGGCTGGTTTTCCATTCCACGTTGGCCAGACTCACCCTTCTCACTATTATGGGTATACTATGCACGCGAGTTGGCGAAATAATGCAAGACAATGAGGTTAGCCCAAGTATCCAAGTTGAGGAGGGGTTGAGAGCCGCGAAAAGGCCAATAAGGGCAGTTGACAAGGATAAAGGTGATCAATATCAAGCCATACCTGGAAAGACGACCAATTCTAAGCAGAGCGTACCCTGTGTCGCGCAAGAGAAGGCTCACAAAGCTAAAAGAAAGGCTCAGGACACGCCGCAAGGGGAAGCCCGAAGGAAAACTAAACTGCAGAAGGCTCAGACTAAGCGCAACAGAAAAGCACAAAAGGAACTCCGGGCTAAAAGGCAAGAGAAAAAACAAAAGAAACTTGAAGGGGTAAGGAAGGCCAAGATTGAGTTGCAAAGGAAATCACGAAAGAAACGCAGAGCACAAACAAAAGCCCAAGCTAAGGCGCAAAGCAAAGCGAAAAAGTGACCTAACACAGGGGAAAATATTCCATACTTGTTTTGGGTACCGGGCTTTTTTAAGTTTAAGCTACATCTTCATGTATGATTAATGGCTTCTTCATATATCAATTCTATGCGCGTAAACTAATAGTGCTTGGATGCAATTTCACAAATTAGGAGCTCAAACGAACTTTCGAACCAGTCTCTGAAAGTCGAGTATTCTAGGTATAATCTGACGACATTTCTTCCTCATCGTTCGTTCGAACTGTACCTCGTCTGTTTCTTCAGGTTCCACTGTGGGCAGTGAGTTAAACACTCCCATTTTTTTTGTCCCGCTCGTCCCGCCGTCCGACCATTGTCCACCGCCAGCTCAGCCTGAGGTTACTCCCCACAGTCCGACCTATGATAAAAGAATATATTTTAAAGCGACACGCAAGTAAGCTTTGCCTGTGCATTGTCAAAAGCATCCAGATACCCTGTCAATTGAATAACAGCGGCGCATACCACTAGCATGTGGAAGATCGAATGTGAGCCACATAGGTCAAATTTGCCAGGATATTGACTTTCGGGAAACCTGGTCTTTGGAGACATATGCATTAGGGTTAATTTCTCTTATTCATGGTATTGGGAGACGTACAGCATAGACTAAAGTCCCGGATAAAAGGCAGCCTGCTTTTGCCAGAGTATAGGGAAATGCTTTTCTCATCATTTGTGACATGCCAAATACATGAAGTCCATGAATTAATGGCGCAACGCCAGACAAGCCAGTCGCCACGAACATTAATGCTCGAAAGATGCGATACTTTGAGCCCTGGAACTTGGGATGCATTGTCAGAAAGATACTCAACATCCCAAATAATCCAACCTGTTGATTGAAGAAAGAAAAGTGTTAGACTCAAGCACCAGATTTCTATAGAGAACCACTAACCATACACCAGTAGACATTGCGCGGGTAAGGTTCACACCAAAAAACAATATATATTCCCAAAATAAGGTCGCCCAGAATGAAAATCACAACACCCAGCATGTCTAGTCGAAGGCAGAGATGCTCCACGTGTTTGGAGTGGTTTAGCAGGGTGTGATACATTGCTGATAACGACAAGCATGTGACTGCCGTTAACACAAAGATAGAGAAAGCAATAAAATCAGTGCTAGTAACCCCAGAGTATCTGCTGGCAAGGTACTGCTGGATATGCCACTCGCCAAGTAGGAAGAGAACAGCTGGGATAAGGTGGGAATAAATGTTCACTGTCTCGTTGTGCATATACAACCAACTATAGAATGAAGCTTGAAACGAGCCTGAGATAGGCCGATAGCCCTGATGAATCCACTGGTTGGATTCACGCCGGAACCATTCTGGCATCTCATTGAACGAGAGAAGAACTGGTCGTCTTGCCTTGCGAGCCTTGGGTATGGTATTACTAAGAAAGTCCATTTCCTCTGACAACTGCAGGGGCGGAACTCGAAGACGGGGAGCAGATTCCATTTACTGGCTGTAGTGCCGGTTAATGATATAATATAAGGTGGCTGGACTTTTAAGAACAAGTGAGAATACAAAATAAAGGAAAAGGGTTACTCTTGCTTTGTTTCTGGCACAGCTGCCTTTTTATTATTCAGTTCTTGCTAAGCGCTGGCCTCTTCTTATGGGTATGGCCCTTTAGATAGCCTGCAGGCTTTCGTTGGCTCTGACATCGTTGATTGGCACGCTCTAGCCGCTGCCATGCCTAATTTTAGACCACTGGCGTGGCGGCTTGCCCAACCACAGCGCGTTTTCCCCGCAGTGAGCAGGAAGGTAAGATTGGGCAGCGGCTCGACCACGCCTGGCATCCGAGATGGGTTAATTTAAGGCTGAACGCTGGCTAGATCATCATGGTTGAAATCCCATCTGCCATCCTCAGAAGACAGAGAGAGACTGCTATTCTATATTGATTTTCTTTATTTTTCTTCACCCCCCTGCTTTTGGACAGTCTTCCTTGCCCAAGATGAAAAGCGCTGCACAGGTCGTTATGGTGATTTTCCTGCTTGGGTTGGGGTTTATCATAGTTCGCTCGAGCGCCAGGCGGAGATCACCCTTTATCCTAGAGACACCGCGCAGAAAAAGCCCTTCGGAGCAAGAGATCGAGATTGACCCAAATTCCACTTCGCAATCCTCGCCGGTCCCTGCAAGTACCGGCCCTCCTACTGCAGAGCAGAACGGTTCCCCCTCTCCCCTCAACCAGTCTACATTTGCGCCCCAGCAAGCGATCCTTCCTGCCAAAAAATCTACGGATTATACTGTCGGCTGGATCTGCGCCATAGTAACAGAATACGCAGCGGCGCAAGAATTTCTTGATGAAGAGCATGAGGCACCAGACTTTGTGTCGCCGGGCGACACTAATCATTACACATTGGGCAGAATTGGGGAACATAACGTCGTCATCGCTGTCTTACCTGATGGAGAATACGGAACTGCTGCCGCGGCCATGGTAGCCACGAATATGCAGAATAGCTTCCCCAACGTTCGAATCGGGTTACTGGTTGGCATTGGTGGCGGTGTCCCAAGCGAGAGGCATGACGTTCGCCTGGGCGATGTTGTAATCAGTGCACCCCGCGATGGTAAAGGTGGTGTGTTCCAGTATGATTTTGGGAAGACAATGCAGGGTCGTTCCTTCCAACACACTCGTTATCTCAATCAGCCTCCGACAGCTCTCCGTACTGCACTGACAGGACTGCAAGCACGATACAAGAGAAGGGGGCACTCTATCGAGAGCACAATCAACGGCATTCTAAACCGGAACCCAGGGCTTCGACAAGAGTACGGGCGGCCGCCGGGAAATGCTGATACCCTGTTCAGAGCCGATGTGATCCATGATCCAAAGGGATGTGCTGAATTCTGCGCTAGTAATCCATCTAATATCATCCAGCGGCGCGCGCGGACTACGAACGAATCGGATCCAGCTATTCACTATGGGCTCATCGCTTCTGCAAATCAAGTTATGAAGAACGCATTGGTACGCGACCAGCTGGCAGCTGAGAATGATATCCTCTGCTTTGAAATGGAGGCCGCAGGGTTGATGAATCAATTTCCTTGCCTTGTTATTCGCGGCATATGTGACTATTCGGACTCGCATAAGAACAAGGAGTGGCAAGGCTTTGCAGCGATGACAGCGGCTGCGTATGCGAGAGATATGATCTGCCAGATTCGTCCAAGTTTGGTTGAGGCTGAAAAGAAGCTCGGTGAAATTCTACTTGGTATTTAAGTCTTTAATAATCATAATGTCAATATGTGTTAATCCTGCCTCTAGGCCTCCATGATACTGTCAAAGAGAACCAGGGCGGGCAAAGCAGACCCTGGACAATGCGAAGAAGCAGCTTGAAGCCCAGAATATATTCGCCAAAGAGAGAATGTCCGACAAAGAAGAAAAGTGTCATCAGTTGTTCCGCCTTACTAGTGACAGCGGGGGTGATACCACATATGAGTGGTATAAAAATCGAGTGGAGGAGAGGGTTGACAACACGTGCATATGGTTCCTGGAGCAGAAGAAATTCCAGGAGTGGTTGCAAGCTGAGTCCGGCCCCCTGCTAGTCTCAGCGGATCCTGGCTGTGGAAAGTCAGTGCTGGCCCGGTACCTGATCGACATTTACCTGCCGCGATCGGCTACAATCTGCTACTTCTTCTTCAAAGACAAGGCTCAGGACAAAGTTCGGCAAGCACTTTGCGCGTTGCTCCATCAACTCTTCTCTCAGAAGCCGTATCTGATCAAACATGCCATGCCAGAGTACAGCAAGGATGGGGAAGGTCTGATCAACTCGACAGAATCGCTGTGGAAGGTTCTACGAAACGCGATCGGAGACCCCCAGTCAGGACCAATAATCATGGTCCTTGATGCCCTGGACGAATGCAGTGAATTGGAGCTCCCAGACCTGACGCAGAAGGTGGAGAGTCAATTCCGTAGCCGGCAGGGCAAGCTGAAGTATCTCCTAACTTGCCGTCCATATGAGTCAATCGTATCTAGATTTGGCAGCTTATTACGCATCTTTCCGAACCTTCGTATACCAGGAGAGGAAGAGTCGGAAGCCATCAGTTGTGAGGTGAATCATGTCATTACGCACAGGGTCGATCAGCTGTCGCAGAAGAAGAATCTCTCAGCCGAAGTCAGGAGGCGACTGGAGAAAGGACTACGGAAGACTCCCCACCGCACTTATCTTTGGGTATACCTCGTGTTTAATTACTTGGAGGAAGACGACTTCAAAAAAACAGAAAAAGGGGCTGAGTCTGCCTTGAAAACAATTCCAACAACTGTTAATGCGGCATACGAGCAAATCCTTAACAAGTCTAAGGAGCAATCGACAGTCCGAAAAGTCTTGAGTATCATCTTGGCCGCGAGCCGACCGCTGACACTTCCGGAGATGAACATTGCTATGAATGTAGAAGATACATCGCAGTCTATTGATGACCTTGACTTGGAGAATGAAGAGGACTTCAAATCGCGCCTCAGAACATTATGCGGACTGTTCATCTCAATTCATCAGGGCAGGATTCATTTTCTCCATCAAACGGCTCGCGAGTTTCTTACTAGAGATTTGGGATCATCTAATACTACTCCGTTAAAGCCAGGGTGGTATCACTCTATCGCTATCGCGCAGGCACACGAGGTTCTTGCAACTGTCTGCGTGCGCTATCTCAACTTCTTCAATTCTGATACAGCCAGTTCATTAAACGCGGGTGAAGATGACAATAATATCACCGGAAGCCACGACTTTTTACATTACTCAGCTAAAGCCTGGACTACTCACTTCCGCGAGGCCAGTATCATTCCTACCGCTGCCATAATACCCTCCGCTCTAAGAATTTGTGACCCGGATTCAAGAAGCTACGCGGCATGGTTTGGCATCTTCTGGGAGACTACATTTTTGGCAAAGACTGAGCATTTCTCAAATCTCATGCTGGCATCGTACTGCGGCCATTGTGCCATCGCAAAGGTGCTCCTCAGACAGGGTGCGGATGTGGATTCGAAGGACACTGAGTATGGTCGAACACCTCTATCATGGGCTGCAGAACGGGGACACGAGGAGATTGTCAAGCTTCTTATTCAGACTGGAGAGGTGGACGTGGATTCCAAGGACACTGAGTATGGTCAAACACCTCTATCATGGGCTGCACAGCGGGGTCACAAGGAGGTTGTCAAGCTTCTTATTCAGACTGGAGAGGTGGACGTGGATTCCAAGTCTCAGTCTGGTCGAACACCTCTATCCTGGGCTGCACAGCGGGGACATAAGAAGGTTATCAATCTTCTCATTCAGACTGGAGAGGTGGATATGGACTCCAAGGACAATAAGTTTGGTCAAACACCTCTATCATGGGCTGCACAGCGGGGTCACGAGGAGGTTGTCAAGCTTCTTATTCAGACGGGAAAGGTGGATGTGGATTCCAAGGACACTGAGTATGGTCGGACACCTCTATCATGGGCTGCAGAACAGGGACACGAGGAGGTTGTCAAGCTTCTTATCCAGACTGGAAAGGTGGATGTGGATTCCAAGTCTCAGTCTGGTCGGACACCTCTATCATGGGCTGCACAGCGGGGCAACGAGGAGGTTGTCAAGCTTCTTATTCAGACTAAAAAGGTGGATGTGAATTCGAAGGACACTAAGTTTGGCCAAACACCTCTATCAAGGGCTGCACAGCGGGGACACGAGGAGG